TGCACAAAACTATAGCGACGAGTTCGAGTATGAAAATGATCGTACCTGTAGTAGTGTAAGAAGCCGCCTGTCCTGGTAAACGAAGAGGGGGCCTTAATGTCTGAACTAGGATGTTTGTTTCATCTGAAGTTGTCCTTTCATTTGCTTTCCAAACTGTTAAGGAACAGACTTACATCTCATGTTGCACTTTCACACAAATTAGTTCTGGGATAAACTTGAAATGCCACACCATTGGTCTGCCAGAGTGTCCTGGATGTTTCTTTCTCCGTTTTGCTAGTGGAGATTGCTGGTACTTCCAAAAATGGTGCATGTTGCCCAGTATGACTTCAGATAAGACAAAGATAAAAAACGTCAAAACTTCTAATGAACAGATACATGTAAAAAAAGAACCAGGTAAGTATTTGTATTACATAGCTGTAAAACTTGTGGATACTGGCAGAAGATAATGCTTATGCTTACGTATTTGCTTGCCTGTTGATTTTGCATGCAGAGTATTGGGATCAGATTCGAATCTTTTGGAGGTGGCCACAGGTGCTTATATTTTGCAATTTTAAAATTATTTATTTTATATTTGAGGACACCAAGGAAATAAAAGCCAAGATCAGGGCTTAGACTACAACGGAACATAAATAGGTAGCAGTAGGCCACGGACCTGTGTAAGAAAGCGAGCTGAGTCTAGCTGGTAGCTTTCCCAGTAGCTCATTTTCTTGGTGGAAACAGCTCCTGCCTCCCTGTTCTCACTGTTCCTCAAACTTGAGCCAACAGATAAGAATCATAGCCCAGCAGCAGGCTGCAATATACCTATTTTTTGTCCCACCCTCTTTCTCCCCTCCTGGCAAGAAGAGAAGTTGTGTCTGCCGTAACGGCAAGGATCAATAATCACATAGGTTCCATGGACAAATTGCACGTTTAGTCATATTCAGATGCGTTAGACAAAAAGAGAGATAAAATAGTTTATAAAATAAAAGTGTGGGAGACTAAGACAAAGATTGCCTGCCTGAGACATTCTGATAGCGACAGAGAAGGGCCCCCCCAAAAGGAGACTCTGAACTAAAAATATCTGGTGATTACATCCTTGGACCAGCCTTACTGAGATGAGAGACCGTATGTTGGCACAGGTTGTACAGTTGAGTTGTCCCACTGAATGTTTTTACTTTACGCTAACAAATGCAGTATGGATAAAATATAGATGAGGCGCTGTATGGTCTACCACAAACTCATCACTGACAGCATTCATTATTGGCAAAGCTGGGTATGTGAGCAATGTGAATGGACATCTGGTTTCTATAATGCAAAACTTGTGTTTGTATACACTAATGAGAAGATAAGGTGAACCACCTGGCACCTGCAAATAGCTGTCTAAATACACCCTCCCTTTGCAGAGGGTGTATTATATACATATACCCTACCCAGCAAAACTGGGTAAGAATTTTTTAAGTCAGAGACTGAAAATTTGGTCCCCAATTTTCTTTTCAAATAGATGTTACTTTCAAAGTATATGACTGCGAAGTGGCAACTACGTGTTTGTCTTGCCTGCAATGGTATTACTAAGCACTGATAACTTTTCTGCTTTCTAAATTAAATGGTGGAATAAACAGCAGTCTGGCTTTCTCAAAATATTGCTACGTGTTGTCAGATCCTGAGATGTCAACAGAATAAGTGACACTGTTGGGGAGTTATATGCATGCACTTTGCATGTTTCAATATGCTTCACTAGTAGAAGCAATAAATTGCCGAATTCCTCACCAACACTGCCAGGACAGGATTTAAGGAGGAGAACATAATAGTGTTATTCAAGAGTGCCTTTGATCATGGGAAGCTTAAGCTTTTGAAATATCTTGCAACTGGCTAGCTTAGAATGAAATTTTTAAAGGCTGCAAGGATCTTAAAGCCTTCAAAGGTGTGCTTTCTGTCAAAAATCATTGTGATTGCTCTGCTATGCGAGGCTTTGCTAACAGAAGAAATACTTGCCTTGTACGTCAACGTTAGCATCTCTGAACGCCAGAAGTACTGTCAGTAAATTAGTTTTAAATGCTCGTTGAGCTCTGTAGCCATTGGCCTAGCAGACCTGCCAGGGCCCCATCAGTGCAGCTACCAGGCAGGTATGTTGAGGTAGATGCTGCAAGGGTCTTGGGAGTAAACACAGCTGGCAGAAAGGACTCCCTCCACCACTGGGTAGCTGTTCGGAATCAGAAATAGCATAGCCAGGAGTAGCAGGGACATAATTAAGGCTGAAATAGGCATTTCTTAAAATGTTTCACAGTGTTTTTAATCAAGAGAAAATAAGGCCCTCATTTTCCAATAACTTTAATATCATCAGAAATAACACTCCAAAAATCTCATCTCCATCAAAACATCAGAGGAACCCCAACACACTCGTCACGGTGCTGAAAGGGAACAGAATAAAGTATGCCTTTTTATTAATTCAGACATTTTCTGCGATTAAAATTGTAACTAGTTTTCCTCTATAAAACCAATTTTTCTTCATCTGCAGTTACTCGTGTGAGTGCTGCTTTGACAAAGGAAAAAAAAATTGGGGGGAATTCTGCATTGTGGTAGTGCATGAGATGGCACCTCCTCTGGCAACACTTGCTGCTCTATTGCAGACTACATCTGTCGCTCTGTTTTAAATGTCTCTATTCTGCCCTTTCTCACATCCCCGCTGATTTTATTTTTTTTTTCCTTCTGAAGAGAGAATAGTGCTATAGAATGCAATAGGTTAGGAATGCAGCTATTCAGTACCACCTCTCAAGACAATCTCATTTTTCTTTATCTGTATATCTAGACCCTCCAACTGCAAAAACGAAAACAGCCTCAAAACTTAGGCCATTAGACATGCAAATGCTTCTGCTGATTTTGCAAGTAGGTGGACTAATAGGTTTGGGGTTTTTTTTAACTGGAAAAGGAACCAACTGCTATTAGGACAGCTGGAAGAGCAGTCCACCCTGTTGATGTTGCTCATCTCGTTCCAGTCCTACAGTTGATTTGTTCTATGGCTTGGGACATGTCCCTTCCTCTCTCTCAGACTTCCAGATGTAGGGTCTTATTTAAGTTATTTTCATGGAATGAATTATATAAGCTTAAATGCACACTAAGATGAGAATCAGATTTGCTGACTGTGAAGAAATGAATCACTAAGTGTGTTACACGGGGCTGCTGTAAGAACTCATTAGGAGGATGTTTTGAAAGGATGCTCTACAGGAGCTAAATAGTCTTGTATCATGATCAGGACTTATACCTTATAGACAAAAGTGCAATATTGTACATCTGAATCTACACCAACCACTCATGCTTAGTATCTATTAGAATGCTTTTCTTTTTCTGTATAATATATTATTTCAGTTTGCATGTGGGAATAATTTTTAAAATGTCAATTTTCTAGCCAGGAAAGAAATAATCTTGCCTAGTGATACAACAGTGTAACAGTATGGTACAGCATCCTTTGGAATGTGAGATAGTGGTGTTGCACAGCACAAAGAGTGGCCCCGTCCCCAGGGATATTGTTTAAACGACTGCGTGTTCCACACTAACTTCACTTAGGGCAAGAATGTCTTTTTATTGAAGCTTTTCCCAGTATTGTTTTTTTGGTGGGAGCCCCTCAAATTTGGCAGGGTGAAACAGCTAAGCAACTTCTAAAGTATAATGCCCAGATTTTAGCTTGGTGAGTCCTCCAAACTTCTGGTCTGTTTCCCCCTCCCCCCCCATTCCCCCCCCCCCCCTTTTTTTTTTTCTTTCTTAATGAAATTGTGTCCCAATTATTTGGTTGTGTCCCAATTATTTGGACTAGCCAGATCTAGGCTATACCGAGGATAATAGTAAAATGTTAGACCCAATTCTGTCACCCCAAGATATGCGTAACTAGGTATGACTTTAATAAACACTACCTATATCGTGGGCCAGGAAAATAACATTCAGAATTCCTGACCAATGCAAATAAAACCATGTAGATGGACAGATGCAGGGTCTCAATTAAGTTAGAATATTTATGTTCAAATTCACTTTTTTTTCGTATTTGTTAAACAGTAAGTGCTCCTGGATCTCTCTTTATTCAGGTAAGCAAAATGAAGCAAGGAAAGTTATGTGGACCAAAACTCTTGGTACGTAGATGTTCTCTGTGAGAACCTTCACAGGATTGAGGGTCTTGCCTTGAGCAGCTTTGCAAGAGTGTAAAATGAGGAAAACATGCAGGACACTACTGAACCCACAAAGAGACAGACCTTCAGAGTCTTTCTATCTTTATATGCAGGCTAGAAGGCATATACGGATGTGAGGTATAAAGGGAGCAGAAAGCTATTTCCACACAACTATCTGGCAAGGGCACAAGAGTGGAGAGCATGATGTAGTGTAAGCATCACATAGAATACGTTATCTTTATCCATAGATAAATACATTTTGTCATCAGTGGTGGTACAGCTGTGATGGTCTAAAGACAGAAAGGGCTTGTAGGAAAAAGTAGTATCTTCCCTTAGGTCTCTTGTACAGTTTGAAAATACAGAGAAGCTTTCAGGTGTGCGGACCTCTTCTTCACACTTTGTTTACTTCTATAATGCACTGTAACAAGGCAGATCCATTACCCACTCCAGCAAGGGCTGGAGCCCTGAGAGCTGCTGGCTAGTGGGGAAGATCCTCTTTAGTAAGGCCACCTTGAATAAAACAAAGAGGAGGAAAGAGAGAATGGAGGAGGCAGGGGATTTCCATGCAAAAGGAAACTGAAGCTCTGTACTTGGAAAGATGATATAAGCTGGGATGTACACTTTATTAAAAATCCTTTTTTTCAATTTAAAAAAATCTTAGGAGATGTCTCTTTACAGTGACTATGTAGTTTAGTGGAGTTGGTTAGACATTCTATCACCTCATAACCATTTTATGTTTTGGGTTGGGAAATGCTATTTCCTGTTCCAAAAAATTACTGTTATCTTTTTCAATTATTAGCAAATCACTGCCTTACCATCACCTTCCCTCTCTGGCTTTTAAAACAGGGTATTAGCTGCAAGCTACAGTATAATGCAGAGGAAAACTTGCTGGCTCATAAAAACGCTTGAAGTACTTTTTTCATGGTACAAGAGGGAAAATATTCTTATTCTGAACTCACATCTGTTTTGATATATTAGACCTGAGATCACATTATGTTCATTCTCTCTCCTCTTTTTTTTTTGTTCAGATTTTGCTCAGGACTGTCACATTATTGCAACTTTCAGAAGTGACTGGATGCTTCTTTCATTGAACTGTTCTTTCTAAATGGTCTATTTTTAATACTATCCTTCCTTTCATTAGCAATTCTAGGTATTCAATACTACCTTTCTTTAATAATATGTTGAGGAAAAAAGTTTTAACAGCAAAGGCAATTGGTCAGCGAGATCATAGCCATGGTATTTAACCTGGTTCCGTGCTCC